ATATATAATATCTTCATTGATATGCATAGACTACGTATGGATTTGACTCATGTGTCATGGATAAAGTGGGCTACATTGTCACTAAACTTGTTCTTGGGTAAGTTTCATAGAAATGAAACATGGAATAATATTCGATTAGGGTTCTAATGGCTAGTCATATGTGTAGGGCAATTGTTCAAGTGCTTTGCAGTTATAGCACATTACCCTTATATGCAATTGTATCCCAGGTATGTTTATATAATGGACTTAGCTAATTTCACTTTTTCTTTTCTTTTGGTGTTGAGGAAATAAATAAAGATGTATATAACTGCTTTTGTAATTTATTATATGTTGCAGATGGGAAGCATGTTTAAACCAAGCTTATTCGAACAGTTTGCACTTGACCTCATTTCCGATTGGGTGGGAGACAGATCAAATGTTGCAAGCAGTCATTCCTATGGATTACAAAATCAACCACAATTGACTGATGAAATAGTAACAACCGATCAACGAACTACAACCTCAGTTGTAGAGCTCTCGAGCCTAACTCCAATTCCAGAACAAGTTTAAACATTCAGATTCATACAACACAATGGGGAAGATCAAGTTCGGCCATTATTGGTTCAACGGAAATTAACATCATTATAGATTGAAAAAATCATACTTGGATTTGAGGTGGAAGTTCGGAATTTAGTTATTTGTCTCATATATTTGAATTATCCAAAGAATTTCGAGAAAAGAATAATATTGTTTAGGTCGTTTACTAAAATCAGTTTAAATTATCAAGTAACTAAAGATAAAGGGAAGTGATTCGTACACAACAGTTTTTTGCCACACATAACAATTCATGCATAAATAAATGATTCTAATTAAATACATCATTAAATTCATCATAATAAATTGAGGATAATTGTAATTGTAATCCCTTTAAATTCATATTAAATTCATCATCATAATAATAGAAGCAACAGTACAATTAAACAATATATTGATTATTCATTTCAAATTAATTCTTATTTTGGAAATTTATTGTGGGGTTTGGTTGTCTTAACATATATTTATTAATTAGTAATAGTTAATCATATAACCGAACCAAAAAAAATCGGCTGATCAAAACTAGTTAACCAGATTTTCGGTTTAGATTAAGGTTCAAGAAAATAATGAAATGATAGTCTCTGTTAACCTTCGATAATATGTTTTTGGTTCAATAACCCATCTATGGATACCTCAACATACGATAATCAAAGGCTATGTTTGGTCAAATGGAAAACAAAGGACTGTAATAACCAAGTTAATAAAATAAGTGATCCATCATGTATTTCTAGCTGGTTAGTGGTTACAAATGTATAGAAATAAACCTATTATATATATATATATATA